TCAACTTCAAGATGCAGAAAGGGCTTGTGCAGAAGAAACCCACACAGAATCGGATCTTTTGGGATTGGAAGGAGTTCAACAAGAAAAGACCAACTCTTGCTATACCGTGTGCACATGATGTGGGGGGAAAAAACTCTGAAAAGGAAGCCCGAAATTGGCCTGTTTATTGATCATGAATCGGGATAACTTTGAAAGAAGTATATTTTTAATATAGCTGAATGTAAACAGCTCGATTTCTCCAAGAAATATGCAAATTTAGACAAATAAAATTCTTCAAGCTTTTGATAGTGTCCGTATCTTGAGTCATTATTAGGATGTCTGTGGCTTTATTTTTATAATTTTTTTCAAGTGTCCCTAAGTCGAATCGTCCGTATTTTGGGGTCCCACTCTTATTTCGAATACTCAAACACGGTGTTCGTTTGTCGTGAGTGCGTCAGAAATTTTGTGGAATCTGAATGTGTGGGTTTATCCTGAAGCCTATTGATAATGACTGAGTCATTTTCCAGTCTGTGTGTTGGAAGAGACTTGAGGCATGCGTTTCTTGCTTCCGTGTCTGGATTTTGACGTGTTTTTCTTTGAATTTCACACGGGTATAGTGATCCCATTTCTTTTTTTTTTATGAATTTTTCATCTGCGCGTTTGACGTTTGCGAGCGGATTACTTTGGTCGAGCCAAAGAATGGATGCAGTACCTTGTTATTTTGAATATTATTTTGGTACTAAATGGGGTGATGTTTGTCGTGACTATGCGGTAGAGTGAAATTTGAAAACAGGAAAATCTCGTTACAACGAATTTCTCAGTATAACAAACTTTTTCTCGAGTCTGGACAGAAAGCCCGTTGAGTACACGTTAAAACAAATGTCGTTGTGACGAACTGCCCAATTCCACTATAGCAAACTCGTTTTTTTTTAATGTTTAATGGATCCTCAACTTGAAATTTTCCCGAGGCAGGCACAGTCTGAATTTCCAATCCCAAAAATGAATGACTGGCTCTTTTAGCATGAAAGAAATTTGTAATCAATGACAAAAATGTGCCTCTTCTATTTTTTCAGAAGGAAGAGATTTTCACATCATCCTCCCATAATGAAGAAATTGGTGCAACTGTTGGAATCCATGATTGAAGCTTCTTTTTTTTTGTTTCTGCAGAAGATCACTCGGTTTATCAAACAATATTGAAAAGATCTGAGAATGATAGAAAAGCAAGATCTGATTGATTATAAGCAGGTCTGATGGGAACATTTTTTTCTCACAGCCACTAATTTCAAAAGGCTTGTTGCAATAAATTATTCAGTCTGACCAACATTTTTCTGATGTCCCTCCGAAAAAATTTGTCGTCAAGAGATTTTACTGCATCTGCATTTATTGTGATTAATCCTTAATAATGACTCGGAAATGTTCCTTGTGTGTCTTTTTCCCTTTCGCAACCTGCGCATATAGTGTCTGCCTTTCGTGACTCGATGGTTGATGTAGCAGACAAATCCGTGGGACAGCAGGCCCCTCGTCGGNAACCTGCGCATATAGTGTCTGCCTTTCGTGACTCGATGGTTGATGTAGCAGACAAATCCGTGGGACAGCAGGCCCCTCGTCGGGACAGTGCCGCTGTGAACCTGGCCCAAGGAATGAAGCACACACCGGCAGACGTGGATGCACAGCGAGGGCTCATGAATGGGCCCCGTAGAGACGGTGGTGGTGGTGGTGTTCAGTTGTATGAGGATCTTCCGATTCGGCAAGGGGATCCTCGATTTCACGTGAGTGATCTTTTGCTATTTTTTTTGTTTGTATAAAAATTGAGCTTTGATTGGAGGAATATTGCAGAGCAGGAAGGGTGAAAATTATGGAATGAAGGAAGCGGAGTTGAAAATGCTCGACACGTCACTGAGTTGATTGATTTTTATGTTCTTTTCTCACATGAGGGATTTTAAAAAATAAGTTCTCGGAGTTGACTTCCAAGCGGTCGTCGGAGGCGAAATTTTTAAATGTGAATTTTTTTTATTGATTCGTCATTTTTTTTTGTCAAAAACCAATTTATAAAAAGATAGCGCTTTTTAATTTTAGCGTCTTACCTACAGCGGACTAAAAAAAGCTGTCAGGAAGTAAGTGACTCCCTAGAAGCTCAGCGCACAAGTTACTCTTAACAGAAGCCTATACGCTGTCAGAAACCTCGAAAGCCGCCACAATTTGTTTGTGGCGGTTTGATGGGGTTAATGGTGGTTTAGCAATAAAGGTAAAATTATATGAAATCAAATTTATTAGATGATAAAATTCTTTCGGATATGCGACAGTCAAACCTCGAAAGCCGCCACAATTTGTTTGTGGCGGTTTGATGGGGTTAATGGTGGTTTAGCAATAAAGGTAAAATTATATGAAATCAAATTTATTAGATGATAAAATTCGTATTCCTTTAAAAAAGTATCAAAATAATCCTGGCATGCGTAAATTATATCTAGCTAATGTTTCCAAGAAGTGAATTATCTCTTGTTTGAGTTTTTTTAATGGAGACCTCTCACAGAAAATTGGATTTTGTTGGCGGGCTGTTGAAAGGCAAAATTGGCCGGAGGATCACATCAAGAGTTGTCAATAAATTTGTCGGATGGCGTTTGTAACGTTGGTTTTTATTGCTATCATCATCAGTAAAGTTTTTCTGTTTTTAATAAATTGGCGGTTGACTGTATGAGGTTTGGGGTTATTAAAAAAAATTCTGCTCCTTTTTCTGTTCTTGAAAATTTTCACGTACCGATTTTCCATTGGTACTGTATATTTAGTTTGAATCCGATGTAATGAGAAGTGTCCCTCTCTTAAGCTTTATTATCAAATTGAGAGAAAATTTGTGTGTGTGTTTGTGAACCGCTGTCTTTTGTGAATTATTTGTCTTAGCTTGAACAATTTCTTCAATTTCAGTTCGATCCGCAGAAGCAAATGTTGCACATGACAACGAATCCAGGGAAGCATGGTTCAGTGTATCAAGATGTCAACAACGGAAATTTCTCTGCTACTCAAGCAGCTCGGGAACGCGTCGACTTCCAACAACGACTTCGAGAACCTCGTGCAACAGTCAACCAGTGCATGGAGTGGAATGACCGTTCTCCGGATCACAAGGAACTTGAGGTGAATTTTCCTTATATGTGTTATTGCTCGTTGAGTTTGCTGCGGCCATTTTAAAAATTGTTTGAGCTTGTTGCGAAACGAACGATGCATGAATGGAAGTCAAGAGCTTTTTTTGTCTTTTTAGTAGCGATTCAGTGCTGTGTGTGTAATGAGCATGTTGACTCAGTGGGTTTAAAAAAAAAATTTTAGAATAGAAATTGAAACGGCATACAATTGAGCTGAAAAACCAGTGTTGTTCACAGAAGAAAAAAAAACATTCTTTGGTGCAAGAAGAAAATGGCAGCCCTAATTGACATATTTTGTGGAAAATATTTACAGAAGTCCCCTGGGCCAAGTTTGAGGCACCTATTTTTTATTTTTGGTGTACTCCAGCTTCTGATTCAAAATTCTTGAAATCGACAAGTCATTGATTCCAAAGGTTGTCTCCAGGTCTTTGGAGTTAATTATGCCCTTTCCCTGTACAGCTGCCTTTGCTGCCACCACTTGGAATGAGAATGTGGTAGCTGTTGATAAAACAACCTCAGTGAAGAATTGAAAGCTGCCAGTGTGACTTTTGCAAACATTTCCTTCAAAATATGTCAAACAGGCAATTTTTTTTATCATGTGCCTAAGAATTATATTGAACCGTAATTGTTTCCCTGCTCAACCTTGTGCCATTTCAATTTCTAATCTCAGAATTTTTCCTAGACCCTTGTATTCTTTAGTGGAGAATATTTTTGGAGACAAAGTGGTTATGCAATGGAAGAGCTAAAATTATTTCTCTGGAATGTCATTCTTAGCATTTTTATCAGAAATTATCAATAACTTTCTAGTGAAACCATTCCAAACTTAATTTCAAGCCCTTGCAGGCTCTGCTGAAAGGAGGAGACATGAGGAGAGAATAGACAGAAGCAAGGAATGAATAATTATTCGGAATAAGCCAGCTCCTAACTATTTCAAATTATTTTGATAATAATACAAAATTGGTTCCGAGCAATATTTCGGTTTGATCATATTTGTTGTGACGCACGAGTTGACCTGGAGTTCTCAATTTTCATTGATGCAGAGAAAAATCTTTTGAATTTGTATTTTCTTTGGAGGTGAATTACCTTTCTGTGCTAAATTTTCTCCTCAAAATTCTCCGTGAAATTTTCTCTTGAATTATCTCCGTGAAATTTCCTCCAGACCCCATCATAACGTGCATTTGTCTGGCATCGAAATAATCTTGTTTCTTGCTGATTTGCTCGATTTTCGGTTTGCAGGGCATTCGGATTCAGTTGTATCGTTTGGACGCCATTTTGCATGCTGAGGCCATGAGTCTGTTTGCTATGCGTGATGATAAGGTATTTCTTTCAGTTCCCTTATTATTTTATTCTGTATGATTGAGGATTCTTGGCATTTTGTTTGATTTTTGCACCTTCCTTGACCTTTNGAATAAGCCAGCTCCTAACTATTTCAAATTATTTTGATAATAATACAAAATTGGTTCCGAGCAATATTTCGGTTTGATCATATTTGTTGTGACGCACGAGTTGACCTGGAGTTCTCAATTTTCATTGATGCAGAGAAAAATCTTTTGAATTTGTATTTTCTTTGGAGGTGAATTACCTTTCTGTGCTAAATTTTCTCCTCAAAATTCTCCGTGAAATTTTCTCTTGAATTATCTCCGTGAAATTTCCTCCAGACCCCATCATAACGTGCATTTGTCTGGCATCGAAATAATCTTGTTTCTTGCTGATTTGCTCGATTTTCGGTTTGCAGGGCATTCGGATTCAGTTGTATCGTTTGGACGCCATTTTGCATGCTGAGGCCATGAGTCTGTTTGCTATGCGTGATGATAAGGTATTTCTTTCAGTTCCCTTATTATTTTATTCTGTATGATTGAGGATTCTTGGCATTTTGTTTGATTTTTGCACCTTCCTTGACCTTTTGCTGACTCTCACATCTGCGAATTACATCAAAGTAGTGCTGTTGAAATTTGTTTTTGCTATATTTTTGCCTGTACCCTCTTTTTAATGACCTGTTTCTCTCAAAATTGAGTCGAAAAAAAGGGGTGCTCGTCATAGGCAGGTATAAATTATTCGAGAAGTTGTACTAGTTTCAATGTGTGTTTTACTTGATTCTAAAGAGAACTTGTGCACTACTTTTATCAGAAAATTTATTTTTATGGAAACAATTGAAAATGAATTCAGTTTTGCTTCAATTCATGTGCAAATTCAAATTTGGGTGTTGTTATTTTTTTTACCGATGCAGTTTAGAGTCACTGAACATGGGATGCGCATCTAAGTCTGGTATACAATTTAATCACAATTTTAGACTGAAAAATTATGGGTGCGGCGTCTTATTCGAGGGCAAGTGGTACGGTACTCTAGTAAATAATGTACTCCGTTTTATTTTGCAGGGCTTTCACGTAAAATTTTGATGCTCAAAGAATTAGCATTTCTCAATTTAAAATTATTTTCATGAATCAGTTTGCTTTCTTCATTTTCAAAGATGCGTAAAATTCTGAATTGTGCTTTAGAAAAATGCTTCAAGGTTGGGATAGTTGCTTTTTTTAGGACTTCAAATTGTATCCATCATTGAGATATTATGGTTTCCATTAGTATTTAAAATACTGTTATCCCAAACTGTTGAATTTAATAAGAATATCAAAGTTACGCCTCAAACGTCTTCTACACTTGGTAACTTTATTCCTCTAATCCAATGATTACTGTTGGAACAACTTCTCTCAAGAAGTATTAGTCTTTATGGCTGGGGTAAAGCAAAGCAACTCTACTTCTCTGAATAACTGATACGTATGTATTTCAAATGCACGCGACGACAGTCCAAACCAGCAATGAGCTCAGAAGTAGTGTTTTGACACTCCTTTATAGATTCAGGATGTGCAAGACAGGTGACTGGCCACGCATGAACATAAATGAACATAAAGTAAACTGGGATGTGTGAATGACCAGTTACCAGACACTGTTGCAACATTCAGGTACACTGATTCCAGTGTGTTGCTATGCGGACTAAAGAATATGATAGTCAGTTCAAGAAGGGGGTATTGTTAACCTGTTTGAGGACTCACTAAAGTTATGATGACAATACTGTGTCTCTGTAATTGTTGAATCAAGAGAAACGCAATGGTGCAGGCATCTTGGACCTCCAAAGTAGACGTTGGAAAGCGTATTATTTTTTTTTTATATTTTGAACAACAGCATCCGCCATTACCGTTGTTTTTTTTTTTTCAAGACCCATTGATGAACTTATGTTTGGACACACTTGTACAGAATCTTCTGGAAGGCGCCCTGCATAGTGTCCAACAAAAACTGAATGGCGGCGACCCGCAGAACCCGAACCTCACTGCTGCTGAGATTGACAAGCTCAAACGCCAAGAAGTCTTGCTCGAGCAAGAACTCTCTTTCATCAAGAGCCATCTGGACAACAGTGCTGCTGTGAGTGCAAAGTTTTCATTTGTTTCTTGTTCTGCGCATTCCGTTCATCACTTGCTATTTTTTGTGTGCAAAAGAAGAATTTTGGGAGCTACGGAACAATACTTTCTGCAGGAAGTCGTAATCCAAACTTGATTAATGCGCCGTCCTCGTTTTTGAAGATGCGATAAAATTTGCAATTGTGCCCCGGGAAAAATGTTTCCCTGTCAGCAGAATTGCATGTTTCGTCGAGGACTTGAAATTGTTCGATACGTCTTGAACCAACGTCGATGATAAGGACATTTGCATTGTCTTAATTCATCCAAGTGCATTAGAGACTTCAGGTATTGGTTCGGGATGGTTGAGTAACGTCGTCATTCCAATACCGGATTATTATTGTCAAGCTTGTCCTGGAAAAAAACTGGTTTAAAAAAAATCTTCCAGCACTTGCAACCTTGTACAGCAAAAAATTTCCAGAATCTTGGGTAACACATGAAGGCGAGGTTATTCCTGACAACGATTTTCCGCGACAAGTTTAATTCGCGTCGAGATTTCTTCCAGGCTGATGAGGTTGGGCCTGACGACGTTATTCCAGCCACCCGTGGAATTTGGGAGCAGCAATGATCCGTGGTTTAGCTTAAATCCTACTTTAAAGCATCCCCACTTTTTTCATTTATGATTGTGCAGTGTGAGAATCGAATCGAAAATTTGACATTCGACTCGTCAGAAGTGCAGAATACCATATTTATCGAGTTCCACACGCACCTTTTTCTGGGGAAAAAAAAACAAGGGCGAAAAAAATGAGGTGCGCGTAATTATTCGGGTATAATTTTTGTAGTAAATTTTTTTGAACTTGAAAACTTTTTTCAAGCTTTAGAAATATTTCATAAGTTATTTTTTGTGATTCTTCGTGTTTGGTAGGGAAAAACATCAAAATTGAAGTCAAATTTACCGTGAAGATGTACTGTATTGTATTTCGATTTTTCCCCGTATAATTTTTAAAATACCGTATAGAATTTGGGGTTGGAAAACTAAGGTGCGTGTCTTACTCGAGTAAATGCGATATACAGTGAGACCCCAAGATGCAGATGTAATTGGTCCATCAAGAGTGTCCCCAAGTCAAAATGTCCTTGAGTTGAGTCTTGTTTTCCCATAGACTTACATTATATAATTTTCAATAGGTGTTTTGTGGAAGAAATATTCTTCAGAATTCTCTGAAAAAATTTGTTTGCCACTTGAATTTGACTCAGTGAATACATTTTCAACTCAATAAGAACATTTGGAGCATTGAATAGTGTATCTCTGTACTGTTCATTACAATTTTGGAATTTACAAAAATAACACTCAAGTGAAGAAAAATATATAAGTCCCTCATCTATGCTGGAGGTAATTGTTTTAAATTAGCTAAATGGATGGTAAATAGAAATCCCCAGGAACATTTCTTACATCAAAGGGCTGGAAACATCTGTTTCTTGTAATTTGGCCTGAAATGTATTTGCAATTTTATCACCAAATGTCCCTATGTCGAGTCAGTGTCCTCATGTCGGGCTGTATTTATTAAATTTTTCTGGGGAAAAAAAGTGTCCCTATGTAGAATCGTCAGCAGGTTGAGGCGTCCGCATGTGGGGGTCTCACTGTAATTTTATGGACGGGATTGAAGCACTGCATATAGTCCTTCTAACGGTTTGTAGTGCAGCACTTTATGAACGAAACAATACAGTGGTGCTCCGCAGAATGGCCTCAGTCCGTTCCGCAGTAAGGCCCACTGGAGGTATTCCAAAATTGGATTTCAATATTAAAGGATAAATTTTTTCACCTTCAAAAACTGATTTCCAGTGATCAAACGTCAGAATATTGCAAGAAACGTCCCCTTTTTTCCTGACCTGAAGTGAAAATGCTTCTCTTTGTTCTGGCTCTCATCCTCTTTTTTATTTTTCATACAGATTTAAAATGTTCTGCATGCAAAATGGTGTTTTCTGCACAAAATTGGAAATAAATGCCAAGTTTCGAATGAAATATATCAACACAAAATTTAAAGAACTGTCACTGTGAAATACACGGCTCCACTGTATATCAAAAACTGACCTGGTGCTTTCTCGAAAACAATTTCTGCCTTTATTCGAGACCCAATACGGTAATCAATACAATAAACAAATAATTAAATTCTTCTGAATACTCATGATTTTCCTTCGAATGAAATCATTGAATTTACTTGGATGCATGGCGTTTTCCAGAAGAATGGAATTACGAATCAACCGTTTAAATTAGATCTCCTGAAAATTTTGAGCCTGAAATATACGGTATACATATACAAGATCTGATAGAGGATTCTTGTTTTGATCGTGAATTTCAAATCTTGTCCGGGGAATGTTTTTTGAAACACGACTAGTCACTATTAGATTTTATATTTTGGAAGACTGTAGACTTTGTTTATTTTCCCACAAGCTTAATTTTTTTTGTGCAGAGAAGTGGTGGAGATCAGAAAAATACTACTTTACAGCTCACGTATACTTTCCTGCAGAAGATTACAGGCTTTCTCGATCCTCCGACTAATTGCTGGCAAAAAGGAACAAAAACGGAAATTGGCTCAAAATTGGCGATGATTGAAACCGACTTCATGTGCGTTCAGGAATGCGAGTGAATCCCCTGTCGACAACTCCAATGTTTTTTTGTTTTTCCTTCGTGCAAAACTGGCTTTGATCGAGTGAACCAAAAGGGGGTTAGATAATTGATGTGAAGCGCGAATGGCTTTTTACGAAAATTTGTCACGGAATACCAAATTGTGGAAGGAGGGACTTCCCTGTGCCGAATGGGGAAAAAAAAAGCGGAAGGAGGGGATAAAATAGACGAACCTTTTCTGTTGCTTTCGTGAATGAATGGATGATGCTGATGATGGTTGCCGACGGGTTCGCGAAACCCGCCCAGGGTTTCCGGTGCGGATTTTCGCTGCAACCGTGGAAAACATTCGGTATTTTGTTCGGGTTCGCAAGGTCAGTTCCTTCGTCACGGCGCACAAATTTCGTTTTACTTTTTACTCTGGCACGGGTTCGGGTTTTCGTGCCGATATGCGATCGTTGGTTATCAACAGCTGCAACTTCAGTCCGATAACACGAAACGCAGATTTCTGTCTCCAGTATGATGCATTACTTTCTTGTCCCACAAAAATCTTCTTTGGACTTGAAAAAAAAAAAAGCTGCGAAGATCCAATCGACGGGCTGGGCGAGGAAAAAAGTGAACCGATTTTAGGTAAAAATTCGAATAAAGTGTCAAATCGAATATTTTTAAATGATCTTCTGTGATACAGCATGTTCAATTTTGATGATATTTTTGGATGGGTATTACAAGCACAGCAATTTTGAGATAAATTAGCAGCAGATAGTTGATTGGCGCTTGAGTTTTTGCAAGGAATCCGTAAAAATGTTGTTCCAGTTGAATCCACCTTCAAGTACATTACTGTACAGTATTTCCTGGAGAACACAAGCAAAAACACATTTCTTGGTTTTTCTCATTTTTTCGTCATGGGTTCACAAAATGAAGAATTACTCAATGCAGTTTGAGAAAAGTTTACGGAACTTCGCAGTAAATTTTTAATTAATTCTCACAATAATTCAGAAGTTCTATCCCGCAAGTATTTCTTTACGTGCAGTATTTTTACCGACGCATATTCAATAGCTCAGTGATTTAAATTTGAATTTTATATTTAGATTTTTAATTTCCACCCAGTACAACAGACTTTTCTTCTCTTTTATTACAAACTTTCTGTGTACGAATGACCAACAACTTTTCCATCCAACTCTCCGAGGTCTGTTGTCTGGGTCCCGTGACAAATCGCGGGGAGGATTCGGTTATTTTTGCATCCCCACGTGCTTCCGTTCCGTTCGAACCCTTTGTTGCGGGATGGCAAAGGTGTGCCACAAAAGGTATGAATGGGAACCCATGGGCGGATTAGACCAATGTGGGGGAGGGGAAAAAGGAAAATGAATGGCTGGATGAAAGGGGTATCGGTGGCGCGCGTGGTGCCAATTTTCGGGTTCAGGGCGAGGATAGGAATAGATCTGGCTATCATGATGCGTGCAGCGCACTTCTGTGTCAATTTTTCAAAGGATTCTATGGCTGCTGATGTTTTTTCCCCGCGGGTGGTCTGCTAAAATTAGCAGGAACAAAAATACGATTGAAACCGCGGTCTCGCGTTAGTCTACTGGGTTACTAAAACTGCTGGGTTGGAATTGAAGGAAAAACATGTTATGATGCTGAGAACGGAGGATTTCGTGAAGCAATGATAAATCCGATGTTTTCTGCCAATAATTTTTTGTTTAGATTTGATGGTCGTCTGAGTTCCGTGCGGAATCAAATTTTGTGTGACCTTTTCAAAAATCTAAATAATTTTTTGTTTAGATTTGATGGTCGTCCGAGTTCCGTGCTGAATCAAATTTTGTGTGACCTTTTCAAAAATCTTTAAACATTGTCAGACGCCAAAACCATCGTGGGAATAATTGTAACATTCTTTTTCACAGTTCCGTCACAGTGTTAAAAACGTTTTACCCCACACGGAACTGGGACAACCATCGAAATCCTAAAAAAAATAACCATTCGCGGGAAACATCAAATTTATCATTGCAGTACTTCACGAAATCCTCCGTTCTTGGTGACATAGCACATTTTTCATTGAATTCCAATTCAGCAGTTTCATCAACACCGTGTAATAACTCGAGACCGCGGCTTCAATCTTTTTCATTTTTGCTAATTTTAGCGGGTCACCCGCGGGGAAAAAAGAGCAGCAGCCATAGAATCCTTTGAAAAATCGACACAGAAATTCGAACATTGTCAGATGTCCGAACCATCATAGGAAAAATGTAAAACTTTTCCACGGTTTTATCGGTTTTAAAACATTCAACCGCGCACGCGGAACTGGGACAACCCTCCGGTATTACAGTGCCGCCCAGGCTTTTTTTTTTCGCTAGCAGGCAGGTATTTTCATCGACAAAATGAATAAGTGGGAAAAGAACCCAAGTTTCTCCAGCCTAGAAGTTTAGTGAATACGGATTCCAATACATGTTATGTACTCCAGTTCGGAATAAGGGGCACGAACGCTGTGAAGTAGCCATTGAGGCGAAACTCGGTCCTGAAATCTAGATCATGCCCAAGCAGCAAACGAAACGATTCCCATCAGTTCCACTCGGCAATATACGCGTGTCTCTCTCAAGCGTATCCCTTCCAAATTACTAGGTTATCAAGACCGCGGCAAAACGCGGTTTCGGTATATACGGAGGCATTCTAAATCCCTTTGACTGCTCGAATTGAGCACAATGCCTCGAATCGACCACCACGCCCTTTCTGCCGATCATTTCACGGTCGCCAATCGATGTGCATGTGTGTGTGTGTGTGTGGTGACTCGAGTCCAGGTCCAGCTGTTGTCGATTGGCCCCAGGGATCGGCGTTATATGCAGGTGTACACGAGAAGGGATCTAGAGCGGAGATACGGGGATGGTGCACAGGGGGGAGAAGATAAGAAAAAAAAAAAAAAAGAGAATTAAGCCACAGATGCCGATAAGCGTAATTACGGGCGAAGAGGAAAACGGTGACCTTGCCGTTGTTGTTGTTATCATTAGGACCCGGGCGCGAGT